AGGCCGGGGGTACAACTGCCGAAACGACGTGGATATGAGAATAAAGATGAAGACAACAATCCAAACGATGTAAATAGTGTAAATAGTTACAATACCTCATATATATCAAATATAGAGAAATCCTGAAGAAGGCCGGAGCGTACAATATGGCAATATAAGATAATGACAATAGTCCGAACCATGTAAATAGTTACAATACCTCATCTCAGAAATATAGACAGATGTTAGTTATTGCCATTGTCTTTACTTGTTTCTGGCAAGAACCGGCCATCCATATTAGTTCTGGTTTCATCGATATCGACAACCAACTAAAAAGATAAGAGTTCCTCTTCATCATTTTCGGTATTCCAAAAAATATAACCATCAACAAAATTACACAGTGCTGAAAAATATTATAAAATATATCTTTCGAACCCTCGGCTATTCAACTCCTCTGCACGCTTACTTGATACGGAGGGAAAAGGCAATGAAAAACTAAACAAATCTAAAATATTTGTACAGATAACACAATACCTACCTGCGTTGCTGAATTCAGAGTTCGTCTTATGCAAGTTTAATTAGCAACGTAAATGGAACATTGAAAACATATTTTTAAACCAGACCCACGAACAATCAACTTCAGTTTCAGTGCTTCATAATATAAAGTAAACTTTATTTTTTTCATTGTTTTTAGTATTAAGTTCAATTTTTAATGGGATATGTTTACAAGTGTTACGCAAGAACGCAATCTCAGTTTCCCAAAATATCTTCTGAAATCCAAGTGGTGATTGTTTTAAGTTCAAATCATGCCCAGTGCACTTTTCTCTACTTCAAGTTAATCAACTCCGAGGTAACAACGTTGAAACATCAGTTATTCATTGTTTTTTCGACTAGTATTTCATTCGTCTTATTTCGAGCGTCGAAACAGTTTGAGAGTCAAACTCTACATACATACATATATATATATATATATATATATATATATTACTAGTATTAATCTTATAAATATAAGAAATTATACTCGTCCGGAAAACCTTCCGTGTCTTGATTTGCAAATAATCAAACCAATACCAAAGGGGAAAAAAGGTATAAAAAAAGAAAGAACAAAGAACATGTACGTTAGCCGAAAATAATCGTCGAGCATGCAACTCCAGAGTCCAAAGGAAAAAAAACCGATACGAGTAGGCAAAATAACTAAATAAAGTGCTCGATACAGTAAGTAGAGCAGACCTAGTTAAACCTAGAGAGCCAGACAAACCTACCAAGGTTTCACCTAAACGGATCATCAGGGAAGCTGGCTCTTTAGGTTTAATTATATAAAGAACAGTAAGATATATAATCTGGTGTTCTTACTGAAATCTTTATTTTTATAAAACAGTGCTCAATGTAAGTTTATAGAGCATCAATATTATTAATTAACTGATTTAAAATGTTTTTTTCGCTACACAGTAATAACCATGTTTCAAAAATGGAAGCTAAAAACTTCAAATTTAATTTTGCAATTAAATTAAAAGCATTAGTTCCATTTCATCTTCAAGCGAATATTGGAATAACTTAATTCATAATTCCTACAGAGAAATCCAATCATTCAGACAATTCATAGCGTGTTCATTTTTCATTAACTATTTTTGTATCAATTATGAGTTACAAAAATAGTTAATAAAATGAATTTTATTAACTATTGTTGAATGAATAATTTTCTCTGTAACCTTGGAAACAAGGAATTATGAATTCATGTGTGTTTAAGTAAATTTAAATATAAGTTATTCCAATATTCACATACGACACAAATGTAAAAATGGAATGAGGTCGTCGTATCCTCGTGCATCAAAATCGACGGGGGAATCCATTATATATATATCAAATATGTGGTGCAGTTCAATTTATATTACATGAATCATTCATACAAAGTGTAGATTAGTAAAGTTAATGATATAAATGGCGAAAAACATCTTCGCAAACAAATTTTTTTAAGTTGCATTAACCTACGAATCACTCGATGAATGTTATGTTCCTTGTTTGTAATAACTTCAAGTTGTATAAGGTCTTTTTTTAATCTGCTAGTACTTTCGGCTGTACATACAGCCATCCTCAGGCATGGAAATTATTTTGTTTTTAGTAGGTCCTGGTAAGAGCGGACACGAAAGATTAAATGCGAATCGAAATATGTTTTTTTAGAAATGTGTTATGTAAGAGAGAGAGAGAAAGTGTGTGTGGGGGGGAGAGAGAGTATGTGTATTTGTGCGTGCCTGAGAGAGAGAGAGAGTGAGAAGGTATGTGTGAGAGAGAGAGAGAGACAGAAAGTTTGTGTGTGTTTGATTGCTTGTGAGGAAGTACTGAAAATTTCACTACTGTTCCACTACCCAAAAGAAACGAATTATATATATATATATATATATATATATATATATATATATTAGCAAATTTACATTCACTTAAGATATAGCGATTTTATATATATATATATATATATATGACAAACTGGAAAGGTATTTTTTGTGAAGCGTTTCATTGTGCGTATATGTAGACGTGGCCACAGCAGCAAAGCCCAATCCGATGAAATCCTAACGGATGAAACGCGTCATAAAAAAAATACTTTCCAGTTTGTCATATATATATATATATATTGTCATCCACATACAGACTGCTTTGCTGTATCACTGCTCATCAGTGTGGGTAGACGTCCGGTTGCATCTAGTTAGGATCGAAACCCGGCTGAATTGGCGCCAGCCGCAGATTATCCCACTAAGCTGTTGGCACACGGCAGGGACGTAGGCGAATTTTAGCGCATTTATTTTTAGATAAACACACAGTAACCGAGAGGACTCGATTCGCTTTACCAAAGAGTCATGTTATATTAGCCGTAATAGTCACTGTTTACAAACCCACACTTCCTTATATATATATATATATATATATATATAAAATTAGGAGATCAGCCGATTCCGTTACTTGGTTTCAACCTTTCGGTATCTTCAGGTGATTTCAATCAACTGATTTTCTAACACTTTATTTAAACATTAATGAACTCAATTTTTTTTAACAAAGAAAATAAATAAACGGACAACATGTGGTGTAGCAGGAGGTGAGCAGGAGTAGGAGTAGGAGAAGTAAAGCAAGTATATTGGAAATGTATCGTGTGGGGGTAAATGAAATATACATATTTTCTTTTCCTTCCACTTCATATGAACTCAAAAAAAACTTTTTGGTATGCATACAACGTGTCACAATTTTCGATCTCTCATTCAAAAGGTTTTTTTGCCTGGAAATGTTATTATAGGTAACTTTTCTTGTTGACAAAGTTGCATATATTACTATGATTAGTATTAGGTTTTGCTTTTTTTTTTTAATTTTCCAATTTACAATCGGATTATTTTTATTTTTTTCCTTTAATTTCAACACATGGTTGGCTAGTCTACTAGAATTCCTAAGACTTTCTAGATTAAAAGATGACTTGTGATTGTACCACCTCTTCTTAAAGTTACCTTCAGTAGACCCTATGTATATTTTCTCCTGCCATTTCTATCTATTACGTCTGCTTTGTAAATTATTGCTTCAGTTTTGCAATCTAATGGACATCTACTTTTATTTCAACAGTTGCATATATATCAATGTTAACAACAGATCACCCGAAGTAAGGCAATAAAATCCCTAAGATGCAAAGGACTACTGAGGATAAAAGAATACAAAAAAGGAACATTATTAAGGAGAGCTCGACATTGCATATAAAGTTTCGAAGAACAAGGTTGACAGTAAAGAGAGTTTCTAAAGAATTTATGGAATTTATTTTTAATCCGGCATTTTTATTAATTCAAACCTTATTTTTAGTGGATACCCATATATGAGTTGATACTCCATTTATTTTAAACAGAATTCATTTGTCTTTCAGTCTGCATATTAGAGAAAACTTTATAAAAAAAAAATGTATCCGCTGACAGGATTTGAACTTATATCACCCTCTCCAGGATGAACCATCATCTGATCCGGCATACTTTTACTGCTCAGCTAGAAAGTGATTCACATAAAGCAAGGTTTTATTTTGTCTTTAAAGCACATTCAATTTTTTTCTTGAAGCACATATCTGCTCAGTTACATATCCAAAATGTAAACAAAGCCATTTCAAAAGAATGGATTTTATTTTTTAATACGGCATTTCTATTACTTCAAAACTTTTTTTATTACTTCAAATCTTATTTTTAATGGGTACCCCCTATTGAGTAGACTCTCCGCTTTTAAAACATCGTTTATGTCGTCTGCTGGGCTGTGCACTCGAGAGAAAATGTGCCCCTTTAAATTACGAGACGTCTACTTAAATACGGTTATCCACAAAAAGTAACGTTTGAAATAATTCAAATATGTTCTTTAGAAATTGTTTTTTCAAATTTGTTTTTCAAATTTTAACGTAAACAGAATCTGGGTCGGTAGTGAAACTTTTCGTAGCTAAGCGATCAAATCAAGCCTGATCAGATAATGGCTTCTGCTGCAAAAGGGGATGCAGGTTCGAATCCTTCCGGAAGGTGCGTTTTCTTTATTAATTTTTTCTTGAGTACGCTGGCCGTATCTATTAAAAGGTAAATTTTGCTCTAATATATATATATATATATATATATATATATATATATATATATATATATATATATATATATATATATATATATATATATATATATGGACGTACATACACACAAATATATATGTATGTATGTATGTATATTGATAGATATAAAAGTATTTAGGCGGTATCATTCATTAATGTATATTTTGTTCAAAATCAATAATAAAAATTATTATATTTTTTTAATTTGTTGTTTTGCGCACAGGAAATCGGAAATGTTTAATGTTTGTAAAGAAAAAAATTGAACGTTTTAGATCTACCGCTTCCAGTAACACATTTAATTATCATTAAAACCAGACACTGAAAATTTGATGTCAACGTAGAGACGTTAAAAAGACGAATGTTAAAATCAAAAGAATACATCATTAACGTCAGTAGTCTTTTTTCACTTACTTTTTTAAGGTTTCTAATAGACTTTGGTGGATAGATAGATAGATAGATAGATAGATAGATAGATAGATAGATAGATAGATAGTGAAAAAACTGAGATAGATAGATAGATAGATAGATAGATAGATAGATAGATAGATAGATAGATAGATAGATAGTAAAAAAACTGAGATAGATAGATAGATAGATAGATAGATAGATAGATAGATAGATAGATAGATAGTGAAAAAACTGAGATAGATAGATAGATAAGAACAAAAATAGATAGATACTGAAGTGACATAGATTGATAGGTATGAACAGTGTGAGATAGATTTAAAATTGTTCACATAATATATGGCCAAAGAGCCACTCTAGGTAGGGCGAAACCACATGAGGATGTTGTAAGGGCGTAAAGAGAAGCAAAGAGTACATGCTATGGCAATATGTAGGGGTGGTAATATTTGACCGTAGACGAAGATAAATAAATCTGACAAGATAGATAAATTGATATGAACATATAGGTAGATAGATAGATCTAAACAGATTCAGCTATCTATCTAGCTACCTAGCTAACTAGCTCGCTAGCTAGATAGATAGATATGAACAGTTTTAGATAGATAGATAGATAGATAGATAGATAGATAGATAGATAGATAGATATGAACTGTTTTAGATAGATATGAACTGTTTTAGATAGATAGATAGATAGATAGATAGATAGATAGATAGATTCCTGAACTGTTTTAGATAGATAGATATGAACTGTTTTAGATAGATAGATAGATAGATAGATAGATAGATAGATAGATAGATAGATAGATAGATAGATAGATATGAACTGTTTTAGATAGATAGATAGATAGATAGATAGATATTAAAAGACTGGAATACATGTAAATAACAAAGGAAGCAAATAAAAGAAACAAAATGTGAATCCTTAAAAAAAAAATTGAGTCTTTAATGTTTCCTGTGACAAACACACGACCAGAAACGAAATGTGGTACCACGTGACCCCACACCAAACCACGCATCGTCACACCAAATCACGCCGTGTTACGCTGACACTTACCCTGTCATGTAACACCCTAAGCCTGCATTAGGCGATTTCATCCGATCTCAATAACAAGCATCGTCAACAAAAACAATAACAACATCTCCGTTTTCGTGACATTAAATGGGGTGCGGCACGTTGCTCATTTGCCGATAGAAACTAATTCTTGTGTTGTTTCTTTTCGCCCTTCAGCACGAACAATTTGAGCTAGCAAACATTTCATAGAATAACAGGAGATAAACTCCCGTATCACCTGAGTTTTGAACATTTTTTACTTTGACAATATTAAGAAAACTAAAGAAAAACAATGAAAGATAACCTTAATTGGAGCTTTATTTACATTATTCGGACTATTGTCCTCATCTTTGTCGCCATATTTATTACAACGTTTCGGCCGTTGCACGCTCAGGCCTTCTTCAGGCGGTTGGAATGTCGAACTGAACCCTTTATTTTCTCAAGTACACATGTCACAGTGGATAAAGGCGTTAGTTAGATCCAGTGACAGGAGCCAAAGAGTCTGAGTTCAATACCCGTTTAAGGCAGTGGAGAACTTTCAGAGGGAAATTAACAGGAAGTAACTGATACCTGACACCCATTAGACGTGGCACGTGGAACTAGAACACTCTACCCCAGTGAGCGAAATAAAGGGTTCAGTTCGACATTCCAACCACCTGAAAAAGGCTGGAGCGTACAACGGCCGAAACGTTGTAATAAATATGGCGACAAAGATGAGGACAATAGTACAAATAATGTAAATAATGAATGTATAGCTCTTCGTATTGCTGGTATTTTTGTGAAATATTGCTGATAATGATTTTTCCTTCTTAAATTATTGCTGGTAATAAATTTTTTTATTACAAAGTATTTCTGGTATTAAAACCTATTTTACACAAGTTTGAGGGTCAACAATTTGCCCATAGCTGGGGCCCTAACAGATCCTACCACCCCAGGTCAGGTTGAACCTGGGAACCCCAGTAATTAATTAACAGGTGGTTCCCGCTTCTCAAAAACTCCTGATCAGAGGCCTTGCTGCTGGATGTAGTTTATCGTCTTACCTAGGACGCGGATGTTTTTATCGTCATACCCAGGACGGGCTTCAACTGGTCAAACAGTAAACAAGGGGTACTACAGTGAGATGTTCGGCGTTAATGCAATGTTGTTCTTCGGGAAAGGACCAAAATGCATCGTAATTGCATCATAGCTCCACCATAACAACGTACTTGCCCATTCAGCGCAGCAGATTTTGGTCAAGAGCAACATTCCCTAAGTCTGATAACCACCATATTTCCCCAGATCTCGCCTCTTGCGACTATTTTTCCTCCCTCCAAAAATCAAATCCCATTTGAAAGGAACAAGATTTCAAGATATCGAGTTAGTACAAGATGACGAGACGAGGATCGCTATCCCAAAAAGGAGTTCCAAGAATTCTTCCATCAAATTTGTGACTTCAGAATGTGGTTACTTCGAAGGAAATTAAATGCCGAATTGATATATGTTGTAGTTTTCTTTTTATAGCACCAGTCCAAATAAATTTTGATCAGACCTCGTACATGTCGAGCAATCTGCGCCGTATCCCCTCAGGACTTCAGGACAGACATGGACTTTCTGAATCTGTGTATAAATGTCCTTATAGCTTCTATTTTCCTTAAGACTTCTTTGTTGCTTACGCGCTGCATCTTTGGCATTCCCAGCATCCTTCTGTAGAACAAAATTTCAGTTACCTGAAGTTTTCTCTTCACCTGTGAGGAAATAGTCCAACACTCACTGCTATATAGGAATGATATTACAAAGAAGTTAACTACTTTTTGATTTGTTTCTAATGAAATTTTCCTTTTTTAATACTTTTGGCATCTTTGCTATTTCAATGCGTGCTTCGGATAAAAAAAAAATAATTTCCAAATTTCAGAAACATTTAAAAATACAACCTCAGATATTTACATGTTTCATATAAAACATTTATATAATCATAGATATCCTCATTTATATATAACCATAATATATATATATATATATATATATATATATTATATATATATATAAATAATTTTTTATATAGACAAAAAATCATAGATATCTACGTGGCATGCATCATATATATATATATATATATATATATATATATATATATATATTATAATTTTATCATATAGACAAAACCATTTTACTCACTACAAAGATGCAACTTGGTTTCTGTGAATTTCAACTGCACTTCGACGGGTGAGAATCGAAAATGATTATGAACAATCCTGCTTGTAGGCAAGCCGTATGTGAAACATCACTTCCTTTTTCTATTTGTTTGAGAATAAAAATATACATTAAAAAATATGTGACGGAGTGGAACAATAGTCCTTGTTGATAGCAGTTTGGTGAAGAATGGATTGGATGTTTAATGTTGACCGGTCTGTGGAAATTTCTTCCCGATAAGCACCGGTCAAAAGTTTAGGCACATCATATCACAATGCACTGAAACCAAGTTGTTGCATTTTTGTAGTGATTAAAATGGTTTTGTCTATATAATAAAATTATAATAAATAAATAATTATCGCTCTACTATCGGTGTTGAGCCCTCTTTTGGATTAATGCTGTGAACGTTGGAATTTATTTATTACTTTCGTTATCATCACATCGGATATATATATATATATATATATATATATATATATATATATATATATATAAAATGAACATCGAAGTCAACACTTAGAGGCGACAGTCTGTCTTTTCATGATCGACGCAATCGTCAGACCATCGATTGCGTCTAGCATGAAAAACAGACGATCGCCTCTAAGTGTTGACTTCTATGTTCATTTTTTATATTTACACACAATCTATCTCTGATATTGAACACTTTATTCCATAAATATAGCACATCTTAAGACTATATTTCTTCATATATATATATATATATATATATATATATATATATATATATATATAAAGAAAGAGAGATATACCACGTCTGTCCTCTATTCCACCGATGCCTCTTAACGATGTTGTTGGTATTCCACAGGGCGCCGGCTTTATAATAGACAATAGGAGACGGTCACGTGTTGCGCCTCACGGAGCCAAGATGTCTGACGAAATGTTGGTCGGCTTTTTATCGAGACTCTCGCTTGTTCTCCTCCATTCAGAATCGTAACAACGAAGCAGAAAGACAGCTTACAATGTTAGCCATTTTTCTTTACTTTTTATAACTTAAAATTCATTCACATTTTTATACATTTAATTTAACTAAGTTTAATTTTTTTGTATCTAGTTTTATATATGTATATACATAGTCACACGGCATAAAACATCACATTCAATATGATATAGGTATATATATCTCGAGACATATTCTTACAAGAAACGGCGAAGAGACTGACAAAGAGAGAATAGACTATAATCAGATATAGATTATCTGAGGCTTGGATATTTTTAATGTTTCAAAAAGTGCATACACGGCCTCTAAGAGAATTTTCCAAGGCAATAAAAGAATCGCTTTGTAGCCCCAAGCCAGACAAAAGATGAGGGTGGTTCACTACAACGTACGTAAATGGCGGATCTTAGCCGTGGAGATTAAAAATGTTGGATCTAAGGAATGTAGTTGGTCTGAACACTTTCCATGTAAATAGCGATGGAGCAGCGAGAGGCTTGCTGCACTTCGTATGTGGGAAAAGGTTTGTAGCGTGTAAAGTAATTCATCACCCACAAGGACGCGCAGTGCTGCATTTTAGGCTGATGTGGCTCTTGTAAAGTTAAAGAATATCAGGAAGAATCAGGTACTTGCTTGAGCGGTACTTGGAACCGACTATTTTTCAAGGCTCTTTTGTATTGGATCGTATGTACATGTGTTCCAGTTGAGGTCTCGGTTGACGTTAAGCCCCACTAGGCACTTATGACACAGTACCTTCACTAAGTGAACACCCGTTCGTCGGGATAGATGAAAATTTGCTCGCTGATGATGATGGTTTGAAAAATATCAGTCTCGCGAGATTTAGAAATAACTTACATCCTTGTGCAAATTAATTGAAACAACCACTTTAATTTCTTCTCTTTCGCTGTACGGTCAGTTTTAGATCCACTGAAATGAAACGGTGTAATCGATTTTTATTTTTTCCTCGGATTAGGTCATTTTTAGTGGTGTGCAGTAATGTGACCTTGTGAGTGAAATTGGGTAGATGGTACCCCTGCGGGCTGTTGATAGCTGTTAGCCCGAAGTCACAATTTATCGTGGCCGAGTGTTTGAGCGTGCTGGCCTTGTTCAAATTGTTGATGACCCTAGATAACATACTCTTTCCCTGAAACTGTAACTAAGGTCTGCTCAGCATAGTTGCAGTATAAAAGACACCGGGGCTCTGCGGGTTTTTAACAAACACAAAATGGGCCTGAACAACCGTCTGCAATAGGGATTGGCTAGCCGCCCTAATAGACGGGCATCCTCGAATACGAATGGCCAGCTATACATTATTTATAAAATAAAATATAAGCACCAATTACGATGCAATCTCTATTGTTTATCATATTATAAAGAAAATTTATTCATAAATTTATAAAGAAACGTTTGTTAAACAGGGACCCCCCACCAAAAAAAAAAAATCCGGGGATTTCTTTCATTTGCTTTCACCACATCAATTCACTAAAATAGATTGAGAACATCAAGAATTAGAATAAAAAATTATTAAACACAATTTATTAGACTGTTAAAAGATTAGTATTTAATACGTTTTTTTCGAAAACAAAAAGACAATATACACACCTTGTGCAAATTAATTATACAGGAAGATGTGGAGGGCCATAATCAATCG